GTAGCTACAGTACAACTTTGAATATTTTCCTCCTGTAGTGTTAACTACAGTATACTTTGTAAAATAATCGCATACGAAGCTCCATACCGAGAGCAGGCTTATGTACCATTCATAAAACTGCAAATACAGCGCGACACGTGCTTTGCATATTTATATATTGATTTTTTATTATACGCCCAAATGTACATAAACCATTTCACACGTGTAAGCGATACCATAGAAGCAAAATATGAACGAGGCAAAATCAGTAACAGCATTTAACACTATTTGTCAATTTTCAAAGAAATCTGGTGATTATTCTTGAACAGTTTCGCGAATCTTTCTGGTACTTGATCTAACAACGTTGAAGAACGACGACCAAATCTTCAATGCAGATAAATCATTTTCATTACTGAAACCAGAAATGAAGCCAGGCAATGTACGAACAATTTATTTAGAACTTTATATGCACAGAGAAAGCATGAAAAAATCTAACACTGAAAACGTGAAGCTGATGTTATGAAAAACGTTTTGTTCCATTTTTAGTCAGTCCATATTCACTGGCTAAAGAAAGAAAACTTCACGTGGTAGCGCGACTGTATCTATACAGTATCAGTGGCCGCGGATTTACGCTGAAACTGCCTAGATACAGTATACCGAATGAGTTCAGATAGGCGCGATCATACGCTGCAACCAATTTCTCATCCTCATCTTGCCGGTGTAGAGTATGAATTACGACTGAGCAGTGGAAAGGACACAATTAACCAAAATAAAAAACTAATACGCATAGAGTGAGTGAAAATGCTGATGAACTTAGATATAATTGGGGGTGGACAACTTTCTGTCAGGGAATCATAAAACTAATGAAAATAAAATGTCGAAAGTACAAAATATAAACAGAAATATAGTCAGAGATTTCTGTGATAAAAGAAAATCACTTTTCACGCATCAGACGTTTAACCTGATGGCTGTTTCTCTGACGCCCTAAGAGAAACACAGGAAGTACACTAGGTATTTTCGTCCTATTGAATAGAGTTCATGGATCAGAGCTGGAAACTTTACACTGAAGAAACAGTCTTGTGATTTTCCAAAGTCAAGTGATTTTCCAACATTTGTAGACGTAAACAAATAGCCAAAATAAACTCACTAAAAGCTCATCCTTTGCGAAGCTATATGGCAGACGATCTACTGACAAGCGACCTTGGTACATTCACTTTTAAGTACTAGAATTTAGTCCAGGAGTCGCCTCGACCGCCGGATGATCAGGAAAATTGGAAAAATCTTTTGAATTTGTTGCCTGTGTAAACTTGAAGGAAAACACGTTTTGAATGTCCAACTGACTGAAACGCTGGCTATATGCTTGTACCAACTGGGGCAAAGATTGTTTTTTCGTCAAGAAAATATGCGCATCATATGCCAGAGATTTTTGTGTCATAATGTAAAATCGATCTGGCTGCAGAAAACGGAACGAACAAAAGATGGTAGGATGCAATTATTAGCTAAATGTGCATCCGTCAGAGTCGGTACCCCTCATTAGTCCCACAGACACATCTATTTGTGGACACTCTGCAGCATGTAAATGTCGGCACGAGGGTTGCATCCCTCAGCAATTCAGTGCATTTCTCCAGTTTGGGGAAGGGTCGAGTGTTTTCGGTTGCTCTTCCATCGTCAGATAAGACATGGTATTTTAACGTGGAGGCTTGTGTAAAGATGAGAAATAAGCGGCCGTAGAGCTTATGATATCGATCCAAAACTGTGTCCTTCTGGTCATGAAAAATAATAGGTGAAATACACAACAACCTTAACGCTTGTGATACGAGTGACATCAACTGCCGAACTGATAAAAAAGATTCGAGCACGTGAATTACATCCAAACCAGACAACTTCAGAAGAAGCAAGCAACTGTTCCAAACAAATCTGACCGGCAGAAGGCCCAGGGGACGGCCAAGATTAACCTGGTGCAATATATGGAAGGAGTCTGTTCCAGACTCCATCTGTCTTTTGCCGAAGCTCAGAATCTGGCACAGGATCGGGAACGATGGAAGCACTGTCTGACGCATCTGCCTCCGCTACTCGAAAGGAGAAGCGGTCATGGAAGATGAACAAGTATTGAAAATACTAATAGTAATGATAAGGAGGAAAATCTAAATCTAATCTAACCTAATCTTAATCCCTGCCGTACTCGGAAAATGGAGTCTCACGAGCGCTTGCTTCGTCTATCTTCAGAAGGTTCAGCTATTTCATAAAATCCTGGAAGCAATGCAAAAATTCATTTCGTTACCACAGAACTAGATAAATACAAAACAAGCCAGTATACATAAATTGAAGGACTGCCTGGCATTATGGACAATTTACATATTCCGCAAAGTTCATCTAAAGTAATAAATTCTAAGACGATGCTTATCTAAACTTACCATAGCCGTCGAAGAGATATTTAGCACTTACGATTGAGTTTCATAACTGTTCTTC